GGCACTGGGGCAGGGCCTGAGCCAGGGCTTTGGCAGAGTTGGCCTGGCCTCGCACTCACCAGGGGTAGGGCCGGGCCTGCGCCAGACTGCCATAGTGCTGCCTGTGCAGCAGCACTGCGTGCAGCACCAGCAGCGCCAGGCCTGGCTCCTGCGTGGCGCCCCAGCCTTTCTGGCCCAGCAGCTGGCTGTAGCTGCGCCTGCCAGCCTGGAGAGCGCCTGGCACCACATGGGGCTCCCTGCCACCTAGCCTGCACCTGGCACCACATGGGGCCCCCCACCTCCCTGCCAGCCTGGAGAGCGCCTGGCACCACATGGGGCTCCCTGCCACCTAGCCTGCACCTGGCACCACATGGGGCCCCCCACCTCCCTGCCAGCCTGGAGAGCGCCTGGCACCACATGGGGCTCCCTGCCACCTAGCCTGCGCCTGGCACCACATGGGGCCCCCCACCTCCCTGCCAGCCTGGAGAGCGCCTGGCACCACATGGGGCTCCCTGCCACCTAGCCTGCACCTGGCACCACATGGGGCCCCCCACCTCCCTGCCAGCCTGGAGAGCGCCTGGCACCACATGGGGCTCCCTGCCACCTAGCCTGCACCTGGCACCACATGGGGCCCCCCACCTCCCTGCCAGCCTGGAGAGCGCCTGGCACCACATGGGGCTCCCTGCCACCTAGCCTGCGCCTGGCACCACATGGGGCCCCCCACCTCCCTGCCAGCCTGGAGAGCGCCTGGCACCACATGGGGCTCCCTGCCACCTAGCCTGCACCTGGCACCACATGGGGCCCCCCACCTCCCTGCCAGCCTGGAGAGCGCCTGGCACCACATGGGGCTCCCTGCCACCTAGCCTGCACCTGGCACCACATGGGGCCCCCCACCTCCCTGCCAGCCTGGAGAGCGCCTGGCACCACATGGGGCTCCCTGCCACCTAGCCTGCGCCTGGCACCACATGGGGCCCCCCACCTCCCTGCCAGCCTGGAGAGCGCCTGGCACCACATGGGGCTCCCTGCCACCTAGCCTGCACCTGGCACCACATGGGGCCCCCCACCTCCCTGCCAGCCTGGAGAGCGCCTGGCACCACATGGGGCTCCCTGCCACCTAGCCTGCACCTGGCACCACATGGGGCCCCCCACCTCCCTGCCAGCCTGGAGAGCGCCTGGCACCACATGGGGCTCCCTGCCACCTAGCCTGCGCCTGGCACCACATGGGGCCCCCCACCTCCCTGCCAGCCTGGAGAGCGCCTGGCACCACATGGGGCTCCCTGCCACCTAGCCTGCACCTGGCACCACATGGGGCCCCCCACCTCCCTGCCAGCCTGGAGAGCGCCTGGCACCACATGGGGCTCCCTGCCACCTAGCCTGCACCTGGCACCACATGGGGCCCCCCACCTCCCTGCCAGCCTGGAGAGCGCCTGGCACCACATGGGGCTCCCTGCCACCTAGCCTGCGCCTGGCACCACATGGGGCCCCCCACCTCCCTGCCAGCCTGGAGAGCGCCTGGCACCACATGGGGCTCCCTGCCACCTAGCCTGCACCTGGCACCACATGGGGCCCCCCACCTCCCTGCCAGCCTGGAGAGCGCCTGGCACCACATGGGGCTCCCTGCCACCTAGCCTGCACCTGGCACCACATGGGGCCCCCCACCTCCCTGCCAGCCTGGAGAGCGCCTGGCACCACATGGGGCTCCCTGCCACCTAGCCTGCGCCTGGCACCACATGGGGCCCCCCACCTCCCTGCCAGCCTGGAGAGCGCCTGGCACCACATGGGGCTCCCTGCCACCTAGCCTGCACCTGGCACCACATGGGGCCCCCCACCTCCCTGCCAGCCTGGAGAGCGCCTGGCACCACATGGGGCTCCCTGCCACCTAGCCTGCACCTGGCACCACATGGGGCCCCCCACCTCCCTGCCAGCCTGGAGAGCGCCTGGCACCACATGGGGCTCCCTGCCACCTAGCCTGCGCCTGGCACCACATGGGGCCCCCCACCTCCCTGCCAGCCTGGAGAGCGCCTGGCACCACATGGGGCTCCCTGCCACCTAGCCTGCACCTGGCACCACATGGGGCCCCCCACCTCCCTGCCAGCCTGGAGAGCGCCTGGCACCACATGGGGCTCCCTGCCACCTAGCCTGCACCTGGCACCACATGGGGCCCCCCACCTCCCTGCCAGCCTGGAGAGCGCCTGGCACCACATGGGGCTCCCTGCCACCTAGCCTGCGCCTGGCACCACATGGGGCCCCCCACCTCCCTGCCAGCCTGGAGAGCGCCTGGCACCACATGGGGCTCCCTGCCACCTAGCCTGCACCTGGCACCACATGGGGCCCCCCACCTCCCTGCCAGCCTGGAGAGCGCCTGGCACCACATGGGGCTCCCTGCCACCTAGCCTGCACCTGGCACCACATGGGGCCCCCCACCTCCCTGCCAGCCTGGAGAGCGCCTGGCACCACATGGGGCTCCCTGCCACCTAGCCTGCGCCTGGCACCACATGGGGCCCCCCACCTCCCTGCCAGCCTGGAGAGCGCCTGGCACCACATGGGGCTCCCTGCCACCTAGCCTGCACCTGGCACCACATGGGGCCCCCCACCTCCCTGCCAGCCTGGAGAGCGCCTGGCACCACATGGGGCTCCCTGCCACCTAGCCTGCACCTGGCACCACATGGGGCCCCCCACCTCCCTGCCAGCCTGGAGAGCGCCTGGCACCACATGGGGCTCCCTGCCACCTAGCCTGCGCCTGGCACCACATGGGGCCCCCCACCTCCCTGCCAGCCTGGAGAGCGCCTGGCACCACATGGGGCTCCCTGCCACCTAGCCTGCACCTGGCACCACATGGGGCCCCCCACCTCCCTGCCAGCCTGGAGAGCGCCTGGCACCACATGGGGCTCCCTGCCACCTAGCCTGCACCTGGCACCACATGGGGCCCCCCACCTCCCTGCCAGCCTGGAGAGCGCCTGGCACCACATGGGGCTCCCTGCCACCTAGCCTGCGCCTGGCACCACATGGGGCCCCCCACCTCCCTGCCAGCCTGGAGAGCGCCTGGCACCACATGGGGCTCCCTGCCACCTAGCCTGCACCTGGCACCACATGGGGCCCCCCACCTCCCTGCCAGCCTGGAGAGCGCCTGGCACCACATGGGGCTCCCTGCCACCTAGCCTGCACCTGGCACCACATGGGGCCCCCCACCTCCCTGCCAGCCTGGAGAGCGCCTGGCACCACATGGGGCTCCCTGCCACCTAGCCTGCGCCTGGCACCACATGGGGCCCCCCACCTCCCTGCCAGCCTGGAGAGCGCCTGGCACCACATGGGGCTCCCTGCCACCTAGCCTGCACCTGGCACCACATGGGGCCCCCCACCTCCCTGCCAGCCTGGAGAGCGCCTGGCACCACATGGGGCTCCCTGCCACCTAGCCTGCACCTGGCACCACATGGGGCCCCCCACCTCCCTGCCAGCCTGGAGAGCGCCTGGCACCACATGGGGCTCCCTGCCACCTAGCCTGCGCCTGGCACCACATGGGGCCCCCCACCTCCCTGCCAGCCTGGAGAGCGCCTGGCACCACATGGGGCTCCCTGCCACCTAGCCTGCACCTGGCACCACATGGGGCCCCCCACCTCCCTGCCAGCCTGGAGAGCGCCTGGCACCACATGGGGCTCCCTGCCACCTAGCCTGCACCTGGCACCACATGGGGCCCCCCACCTCCCTGCCAGCCTGGAGAGCGCCTGGCACCACATGGGGCTCCCTGCCACCTAGCCTGCGCCTGGCACCACATGGGGCCCCCCACCTCCCTGCCAGCCTGGAGAGCGCCTGGCACCACATGGGGCTCCCTGCCACCTAGCCTGCACCTGGCACCACATGGGGCCCCCCACCTCCCTGCCAGCCTGGAGAGCGCCTGGCACCACATGGGGCTCCCTGCCACCTAGCCTGCACCTGGCACCACATGGGGCCCCCCACCTCCCTGCCAGCCTGGAGAGCGCCTGGCACCACATGGGGCTCCCTGCCACCTAGCCTGCGCCTGGCACCACATGGGGCCCCCCACCTCCCTGCCAGCCTGGAGAGCGCCTGGCACCACATGGGGCTCCCTGCCACCTAGCCTGCACCTGGCACCACATGGGGCCCCCCACCTCCCTGCCAGCCTGGAGAGCGCCTGGCACCACATGGGGCTCCCTGCCACCTAGCCTGCACCTGGCACCACATGGGGCCCCCCACCTCCCTGCCAGCCTGGAGAGCGCCTGGCACCACATGGGGCTCCCTGCCACCTAGCCTGCGCCTGGCACCACATGGGGCCCCCCACCTCCCTGCCAGCCTGGAGAGCGCCTGGCACCACATGGGGCTCCCTGCCACCTAGCCTGCACCTGGCACCACATGGGGCCCCCCACCTCCCTGCCAGCCTGGAGAGCGCCTGGCACCACATGGGGCTCCCTGCCACCTAGCCTGCACCTGGCACCACATGGGGCCCCCCACCTCCCTGCCAGCCTGGAGAGCGCCTGGCACCACATGGGGCTCCCTGCCACCTAGCCTGCGCCTGGCACCACATGGGGCCCCCCACCTCCCTGCCAGCCTGGAGAGCGCCTGGCACCACATGGGGCTCCCTGCCACCTAGCCTGCACCTGGCACCACATGGGGCCCCCCACCTCCCTGCCAGCCTGGAGAGCGCCTGGCACCACATGGGGCTCCCTGCCACCTAGCCTGCACCTGGCACCACATGGGGCCCCCCACCTCCCTGCCAGCCTGGAGAGCGCCTGGCACCACATGGGGCTCCCTGCCACCTAGCCTGCGCCTGGCACCACATGGGGCCCCCCACCTCCCTGCCAGCCTGGAGAGCGCCTGGCACCACATGGGGCTCCCTGCCACCTAGCCTGCACCTGGCACCACATGGGGCCCCCCACCTCCCTGCCAGCCTGGAGAGCGCCTGGCACCACATGGGGCTCCCTGCCACCTAGCCTGCACCTGGCACCACATGGGGCCCCCCACCTCCCTGCCAGCCTGGAGAGCGCCTGGCACCACATGGGGCTCCCTGCCACCTAGCCTGCGCCTGGCACCACATGGGGCCCCCCACCTCCCTGCCAGCCTGGAGAGCGCCTGGCACCACATGGGGCTCCCTGCCACCTAGCCTGCACCTGGCACCACATGGGGCCCCCCACCTCCCTGCCAGCCTGGAGAGCGCCTGGCACCACATGGGGCTCCCTGCCACCTAGCCTGCACCTGGCACCACATGGGGCCCCC